CGCGCTAAGGGAGCGTGAAATAAACATCGGGGACCGCGGCGTGGGTTTTTCCGCTGAAGGCATTCGTGGCTTGTCTTTAATTGACACAGGCAAGTACTGCAAATGCTCCGCAAACACGCCGTAAATTGCCGCACATCCCAAGAACATTCCTGAATTTAACCCTTAGGAATGTAAATAACGATATAAAATGACACCTTTGGTGAGGATAGGGGTGAAAGTGGAAGCCAGCAAGAAGGTCTGGATAGTCATCTCCTACTTAGTTTTCAGATTCACATTGGAAAGCAGGGAAATTTATACGTCTATATGTGTATTCATTTATACATAAATCAAAATCTCTGTTTGGCACATGGTCTCCTCACTGGGTTGTCTGTACAAAGTATTATGCAGATCCTCTTGACATCTTTCCAAGGGTAAAATACAGCAGGCTTTGTGTGCGTGACATTCCCCCATCTTATCTAGTTGCTATACCAGCAGAGAACCACCATTATGAAATAGTAATCTCTTAACCTTTAGTAGTAGTAGTTTCTGTTTCTGCATCTGCCAGGGACTTGTTTGTTTTTGTTTTCTACTTAAGGTAATGAGATTTTATGAGTTCCCAAAGCTTTTTATGGGGCTGTCTAACCCTCTCACCCCCACTTTTATCATGCAATAACACCACTGTTTGTCTGAGTTTATCATGATGTCTCTTTCCAGTGTGTTCCTTCAAGAGAAGGCTTCCTTTTTCCAGAAGGGTTTAATAGGGGCCTCTGAATAGAGAAAATATTTGATAATGATATGGAAGTGTTTACAGGTAAAAGAAATGCCACATTACTTTTTCCCAGAGAAAAACATTCAGTTACATAGCAGACCTGAAGCAGGCCATTCCTAGGAAACTATTTGGTTGAGAATTTTTAGTGAAGAAAACTAGTCAGATTGAAAAGAAAATGCCTGTCACAGCTGCCACATGCAAGCCCAGACTGCACTGCCACAGCTGCTGCCCCCTCCCATGGCTTTTCTTTGCTAACTCTCCCCACAGCTAGAATGCAAAGTGTTGCCGTGACAGGATCACACAACCTTGGGTGCTGGGCTCAGAACCTGGTCCTCATGGTCATTGCTCAGCATTCCTGCGGTGAGCACCCTTTTCACAGCTGCACACATGCCTAGGGATCCTTTTATCCATCAGCAAACACCAGGAGTGGAACAAGGGCAGGAGCATCGTAACACAGGCACTTGATGTCTGATCTTCAGAAGTGCTGGGTACTTACAGGCACTCTTACAGCTAATAGAAACTACAACCCTGTGCACCTTGAAAGATGAGGACAATGCACAGCAGCTGCACAGCATATCCCAGGGAAGGCTTTTGCATGGTGGAATTTCTTCCATACTCTGGCAGATAACAAGAGCTGAGTCTCTGAAGCCATGGCTGTGACATACATTCTCTCTTGCTGTTTGAGAGGGCCCAGAAGGTTTGACAGAGCGGCTGGGGTCTGAAAATACATTTTCTTGCTTTATACATTCAAAAGGTATGACTTAAAAAGTATTTCTTGGACTCAACACTGCTGCAGCTGAGCAGGGCAGACACTGTTTCCATGAGCACTCCAGATGCAAACAGGATCATTAGGCACCTCTAAAATATCATCCCATAATACTGTACCCCCACATACCCAAGATGGTCCTAAAGAAAAACCTTGACTAAAGCAAAGCAAGTGCACCACAAAATGTAGTCTGTATGTTCAAATTTGATTCAAACATGTTCACACAGAGTTTACTTGTAGATTTGGACAAGGATAGGAAATTTATTGTGATCACTTGTTAAAGGCTGCTTTTAAGTTCTGGTGCTCAAAAACTGTGTATAAACCAACCAACACATATAGGAGTCCTAGTATATAAATTTCACACTATATATCCAGGGGAAAACCTTTTGTTTTATCCGTATAAACAAAACTTTTATTTACATAAATATGGCTCAGTTCTACAAATATTTACTGTGAAACTCACACTGAAAAGTAAATATTGATATCAATTGGGGAGACTTACCTTACCAGTTGAAAGTTTCCTTACTAGGAAATGTCTGCAAAAGACAAAGCGAAGTAGGTAACTTTGAATTTTGTTCATTCATAGGCACAGGTAAAAATGATCCTTAAATGAATATCCCTTCCATTAAATCCCATTTGAGCTTACTCCTTTATGAATAAAGAAAGGCCAGCTTTCCAGTGCAGGCTCTGTAAAGCAGAGTGGAGAAAGCCCCCTGGGGCTGTATGCTTCATTTACTGAAGCAACAACTCCATTTCATGTTGCCTTCAGACTAAACAAGATTTTCAAGCTCTGCATCCTGGAGAGATCTATTCCAAACAAACAGAAAACTTCAATGGATTTGTTTTCAGATTAGTTGTCTGTTTAATATTTCAATTCCAGAGCTCAAAATTTACTTGGTTAACAGTACTATTTACAGAACAGAACAAACGCTGTGCTGACCTGTGTTTTTCCTGTTCTTACCATGTAGCATAGTCCAGGACAAAATCATGCCTACTCAATGTAATTCTGGAGGATTTGGTTCCAGAAAGGAGCGTTTTAGCAGCAAGGGAATGACTCCTCTTTATGTAAAACAGTTCCCTCTTGTGGATATTCTGTGCAGAGTATCACAGAAGTATTTAAAATATTCATCAGTCCTGGATCTTTGCAATTAAAATCCCCAACTCTGTTCATCAATTCTCCAAACCCCTTGGCATTCTTCATTTTAGCAATTACATATGTGAGGAAGAACAAGCTATTGCATTTAATCATAATACAACTTGCCCAGTTCCACATTATCAATAACAAATTATTTAATAAAGTGCAATAAACATAACAAGCTAAATAAAGTTGCATAACTGTACCTATATGAGTCAAGAGCAAATCACAGTGGGGCTTTTTATTTTGCTTATATGAGGAAACTTTCCACACATTCCATTAAGAGAAACCATGATTAAAAAACAAGGAAAAGATAAACTCTTTAAAGAAAAGAGACAGTAATGGCAAAGCAGTCAGGGTTTCCAAGGATCCACGTACTAAGTACAGAAGACCAAGAAACTCTGGAATGATAAATCTTTCAATTAAAACTAGAGTCCAGGCGAGTGGCGCAGCTTCCCTGGTGACACAATATTGCACCAGGGATTAATTTGGCATGGCAGTTAGGGGAAAAGAAAAAACCAACACATGAATGGAGTAACAGTGTGAAGATTTATGTGTTCTCTAAATGATGACTACATTATACAAAGAATAAATTTTTTCTTAAGAAGAATAATGTGAGAGAATAAATGTGTACTCCCCAGTTCTTCCTGAAGGCATATATGGTCTAACTGAATCCAGGTAAATGATAGGAAACCTTTGCATTTGTTATTATCTTGAGGGAAATTATATTAAGAAAGGCTGAAAGCCTTTATATATACCCTAAACTTGTTTAGCACAATGTATTTGTTAAATGGTTATATTTAAACCTTCCTAAACCTTGATTTAAGATACAGAGTAAATGTTAAAGAGGCAGCTTAAGGGTCAGTAAAGGTATATACATTCCAAGGTTAAAAAAACCCCAGAGTTCCAGTGGTTTGTGTCCAACAGCCTCCTTCACATTTGTGTTATCCCTGTAGAATACACCATTGGGTTTT